ATGCTTAGCACTGTCGGGTTAGATAATCTGCACAACTTTGGAGGTTATTTGTCAAGTTCGCAGAAAGAAAAATGACTTTAAAGAAAAGCGCCTTGGATCATCAGGGATCATACAAAAGCTGGAAAATGCGGTTCGTACAGCTTCTCGCTCCTCTTCAACATGTTCATTGTGAAGGGTAGTAGGAATACTTACGGACAGGCACACAACGTGAAATCCAGGTATCTGGGGTTTCGAAATATAAAGCTTTCTTTTAAGCTGCGATCCCCTCCCTGCGGGATAATAGTGCATGCGGCCCTAAATCAACCAGCCTCATTCACATCACATCCCTCACCGTAGCCCAGTCCCACCCCCACCTCTGTCAGATATCATTCGCACATAGTTGGTAGACGTTCATCCCTACAACTTCCAGTGAATATTGCTCTCTTCTAAAGCAACTATTCGGCCGGGGTCACGTCAGCTAGCTTGCTTTTACGGGGACTCGCTGACACCCAAAAACAGGATCTTCATTAACTTTAGAAGAAGCAAGATTCCACAGACTATTCTGGACATAGCACTTTTTCCTTTGCTATGCTGCAATTAACGGCTACATCGTCATTATGGAGCTTCGGTAATTGTCTTGTTTAGTTTTTTCTCCCATTTATATCTCTTCTTCCTTCTGTGACTGAAGATTGGCTGGTTCTTTGTCTTAATTCTGTGTTACCTTGATTGTTCGATTTCGATTTTTATTGGTGCACCGCGAGTGTATGCATAAAATAAAATAAAAATTACTCACTCATGAAGCAATTGGCCGTAGGCGAGAAAACTCGTGGAGGAACGCTTAAGGCTAATGACTATACAAATGAGATTGATGATTGTAACATAACAACTACCCCTTCTTTTTTCGCCTATCTCAAATAAACAAAGAGACTAGAGAGCAACTGGACGAGCACTTTGGCACCATTTTATAAATAATATTTTGTACTGACTAACGACCCTACGGGTTCCTAACAAATGGGTCCCTGCAAATGCAATATTAGGTTTAGCTGCAACTAAAAAAATACTCTAGATAAATCTCTAACGATAAATTTCACAAACTCAGCATTTCTCGAAAGCTGTGCCATAACCAAGCGAGATTATGGGAAATTTTTCTTTCAATTACCACGCTTTTTCTGCAAAATCCTCCTTCCCCTCCCAGGGAGGCTCATTCGGATAATAAAAAGATTTAGCCGACTACACTTTAGAGAAAAAAATTGCTTCATCCAGCCTTTTGCAACAAACTCCATAAAAGCCTGCAAGGAAATTAAAAAGTACATATCGTTTTGGAAGGGAGAACATTTATAAAGTTGATATATACTTCAAACAATGTAGCTTTCCTAAAAATGCATTTCTTCCGCAATAAATCCAAACCTCACCTATTACAATATCACTTCCAAAAATAGATTCTCCATCCTAATACTGTGTAATACAGGAACCAAACTATTCGAGAATGAAAACGAGTTCTTCTGTCCGAACTGTTCATACAAAGAAGTCAATTTAGTAAGCTTGCTTTTAGATGAGCAGTTATTGTTAAAAGAATTTTTCAATTTTTTTTGAATAAAATAGTTATGTATGTTAAGACTAGAATGAGGATACTAATAGTATAAATGAATATCAATTAAATCGCACTCTTATATGAAAGTGGAAGTTGATATTAGATTGAATGTAGTTGTTGAGTGATTTTGTTGAGAGAGTGAACGTCGGCGAAGAGACTGTAGAGAGAAGGCAGAGAGCCACCAAGTAGTGGATGTGGGTACTGGATTGTCAAAGGTAAGGTTTATATAAGTATCCAAAAATTGTAATATATGTGTGGGAAATGGTGTAATGTTACGAATATTCCGAGAAACTGGTAAATCTTTTGACGGAAAAAAATTACTCTTCACTCTTCCTAATGGTTTTCTTTACTCACAAACAGCCTAAAAAGGACAAAAAACATTTAAAATTTTTACTGTACGATCGTGCTGTCTCTGAACCGCCAGTAATTCATAAGACTCGCTCTCATTCTCTAATAGCCACATCTCCAGTCTCATACTCTCCCCCGCGACAGAAACATCTCAATTTCGATCTAAGGCCCCGGGCAGACTTCACGCGATTTGATCGTCGCGACTGAATCGCGAGGAGACAACTGTTACAACATCATTCCATGCTGATCAACTTTCATTCGGTTGTGATACTTTTCCACTCCGAAATTTTTGAATGTGAAATGAAAATGAATGGAAATCTTGGCGATTAGATCGCGACGATTAAGTCGCGTGAAGTCTGACCGGGCCTAAGACTTGAAAGCCCTTCTGAAACGAAACCAAGAACAATAGGGTCAGACAAACTTTCTAATCCCCAAACAACTCAGCCTAAAGAACGTGCTAATTGAGGAACCCATAGAAATAGATCCACATCTGAAATGTAATTTAGTCAATTGGTGATCGTCTAGATGACATTTTTAATAAATCGTGCCTCTCATCACACTCGCCTAAGCTTCCAACCTTTTCTCGTGAACACGTTGAAATTAGTGACATCATGGGCTTAACCTTCCCCCCCCCCCCTATTACCCGCTCACTTAAAGGGCACTGCAAAAGCGGTTTTTGACAATTTTCCAAAATCCAAAAAGGTAGCCATTACTGAACTGGTAAACATTTTCCAACTGATCATTTTTTGGATCTGGCTCGCGAAAATCCCATGGAAATGAAAATGAAACCCAGCGAATCGCCGACACTGTTTTCTAAAAGACTAAGACAATGCATATTAGAGGTTTATCCTAAACCTGATCAAGAACAGAATAGAGAATTTCTCTTAAGAACTCTTCTTAGCACCGCATTACCTCCAAAACTCAAGCAAAACCTTAAACTTTTTGTCCTCCACCCACTGATTTCAACAAACTTTTAATTGAGTCCGAACGAGTCTATGATCTGACAATATGACGAACACTTCACTGCAGACTCTGTTTTAATGGAAAAAGTAGATAAAATTCCTGATAATTTACGCTCCAAACCAGTTAATGCCATTTTCTAAGCCGATGACTTGGAACGCCTTCCGGATTACAGATGAAATCGCAATAGGTTTCATTTATCAAATAACTACATGCGCGATTCGCAAACTAATTTCAAACGGAAACCATTCATTCCTTACAAAAAGAATGTTCGATTTGCACCTTGTTCTCGCGATAATTCCAACAGTAAATCCCGAAGTCCTTCACCTTTTCCTAATAGTTGTTCACCTTTTCCTGATAGAAACAGCAGATCAAGACACCTCCTAGATTTCCTGAACAAAATAACAACTTTCGTAAAAATAGAAATGTCAACAGAAATAATGTAGATAGAAATGTAAATTCAATTTCCACAAAATTCTCATCCGACGTATTAAAATATGCACATCCACTATTCTTGATAACAGTATTTTGTTTATCATTCACTTTTGCTGCCGCATCACCTCCAACTTACCAACTCTGTGCAGCCGGTAAATCTGGTTGGCCAGTAGCCTATCCAGAACTCACATCTTATACTCACCCTTTTCCCCTGACTTCAGGATATTCATCGATAATCAAAACCAAAACTAATAAATTTCTCTCCCACAATCCAAACGTAGTACTTATTTTACACTAGCTGGCTTACCCGGCTCCACCCGGCCCTGTCAAAACACTGTAATAAAGGTCATTCCTATGCCTGTACAACCTTTCCCTGTGCCCACTTCTACACTTCATTTCCCGTTCCCTCTGTTGTTTTTGAAATCAGCATGCCCACTTACCCCCCTGTGCCAACTCTCAGCCCTTCAACTCAAATTGAAAATCGATAAAATCGGTAAAAGTAATAGGTAATACCAAAAACTACTATTGTATTCGTAATCAGCATGTTCGATTACCCTCTGGGCGAACTCCCAGCGCCCTAGCTCGGACTTAGCAAAAAAATCGATAAAGTCGATAAAAGTAGCGGATAATTCCAAAAACTAATTTTTTATTCGTAAGCAGTATGCTCGATTACCCCGTGCCGACTCCCAGGCTCGTAGCTCAAATTTTGCAAAAAATCGATAAAATCGATATTCATCGATGACGAAAAGCTGCCTACGACACCCGCCCCCTCCCCCCCCCCCCGAAGTGTATGTGTGCCAAGTTTGGTCCGGATCAGTTCAGAAATAAAAATTTTTATTCGGAACATACGTACATACCAGTGGCGGTCCCAGGATTTCGGATCGGGGGGGGGCGACAAAAATTTTTTTCAAATGAAGGTGCGTGGCGTCAGCCACGCCCCCGAAGAAAAATTTCTTATAGGGCTAATTTGAATTTTTAAAAAATTTTAAAAATTATTTTAATTATTTACAAAAATAAACAAGTCGTTTGCACATTTTTATAACCCACATAGGTAATTTCCAAAAATTTCGCGACCCATTCTCGGGCGCGCCCTCCCCGCCCCCCCCCTCGGACCGCCACTGGTAGATTCTGGTAGCATTTGATGCAGCGTTTCATTCTCTTGTTAAAGGTTTATGAAGATGTTGCAATAGAGTCAATGAGATTCCAGAAAAGAATCAAAATCTGCGACCTATGCTTTTTGCTCCTCCACAATGGTCGGTCGCCTCATCGTGGCCTGGGGTGACACTGGGTGTCGAACTGCGATGCACAGCCGAGTGTATACTCTGGTAGGGCCTCCCAAGCTGTGAAGGAGTTCGACGTCTCCGGTTTCGGCCGGATGCCTAGCTAAGAACCGGCCACGCCAGATCCCCGCCGTCTGGCCTCTTCTGGTCGCTAGGCGGTCCCTCCCGCTCCAAGCCCGAGGTCAGCGATCGCCCCGTGGAAATCAAGAGTAGGCCTAGTAAGCCACCTCTTGTAGGGGAAAATTCATATCACTCCTCCAGTTAGATAATTAGAAAGAAACCCTGCACATCGTATCCCGCCTACGGCGCCGGGTGATAGCAAGAACGATGTCAGGGTACTCAGGGCGCCTTTCGGATTGGACAAAAACGACACGTCTGCCCGGACGACACGCCATGGAGACTGCCTCATGCTCTGCACCTACAACGCCAGGACAGTCTCCACAAACGCCGACCTCCACGCTCTTCTCGACGCTGCAGAGCACATCAACTACCACATCATCGCTCTGCAGGAAACGAAGTCCAGGAAGAAGGACGTGCGGCAGATGAGTGATGGGACCCTCATCATTCGTGGTGAAAAGGTTTCATCACGAAACGTGGGAGGCGTTAGTTTTGTCGTCCACCCATCTATTGTCCATCTTGTCGATTCGCACGAGATCCTATCACCTCGACTAGGCATCCTACGGCTACGCCCTCCACGTCAGAAGACCATCAGCATCATCAACTGCTACTCGCCAACATCAGCAGCTGACGACTCAAAACTAGATGCTTTCTACGAAGACGTGGAGGAGGTCGTCCGCAACGAAAAGTCCTTCTACAAGTATGTTGTGGGCGACTTCAATGCGAAAATCGGGATGCCACTAGAAAAGGAATATAGGATCGGGAAGTTTGGATACGGGCTCCGAAACAAAAACGGCAACCGTCTCGTTGGGCTCCTCTCCGCCGCACGACTCTTCCATGGAAACTCCATCTTCATGAAGAAAGAATATCGCCGGTGGACTTGGGAATCGCCCAACGGAACCACTCATGCTGAGATCGACCACATTCTCACCAACCGAAGGTGGAGCTTGCTCGATGTCTCAGTAGTTTCATCCTTCTGCAATGGCTCCGATCACCACCTCCTTCGAGCGAAGATGCGATTCAGTCGAAGGCTGGAAAAGAAGGTCTGTCATAGTGCCGCGAGAAGGAAAGAAGTCGTTTATGACGGTAACAGGCTGGAAGAGCTCATATCAAGTTGTGACTGGCCCATCGAGGAGGACCCAACGTACGACTACGACTGGCTTCTGAAAGGATTGCGAGCCTGCGGAGAATGCGCCTCAGTGACTTCTGAGAAGGACTTGGACTGCATTGCGAAGACCACCAAGGAATTGCTCGAAAGAAGAAGATCATTGAGGCAGGATCCGAATGCAATTCATCTCGAGCGACTGATAGCCAACGCCAGTTGCAGAACAGCTTTGCAAGAGGATCTCAGGAAGTACAGGCAAGCCAGGATACTGGAAGCAACCGAAAGAAGACGAAGTCTCAAGAAGTGCCGAAGGGACCTCTGCGAATATCACGTACCGCTGGCTGCACTACTGAACGAAGACGGGACTGACTTCTTCCCGATACAAGATGGAATCTATCGCGAAGAACTTCTACACCAACTTCTTCCGCTCATCAACATCCGTGCAGATGCCCGTTGTTCCCACTGGAGAAGTATACCACCACGAATTCTACCTGCTGAAGTGCGCATCGCGATACAGGCCATGAAGACGTCCACGGCTCCAGGACCAGATCATCTTTCCGTCGAACTTCTGCGAGCCGGAGGACACCGTCTGCACGAGATTCTAGCGTCGCATTTGACATCTTGCCTTCAGAAGGAGAAGATTCCCGACCAGTGGAGAACGTCAAGAACCGTCCTTCTCTTCAAGAAGGGTGAACGGGAGGATCTTCGAAACTATCGTCCAATATGCCTGCTGAGTGTGCTGTACAAGCTTTCCACGAAGATTATCCTCGCTCGCATATCAAAACACTGGATGAAGCCCAACCCCAAGAACAAGGTGGATTTCGCAAAGGATTCAGCTGCATGGACCACATCCAGACCGTTTCGAGGGTCATAGAAGTCTGCCGGGAGTACCGACTGCCTCTCGTCCTAACCTTCGTAGACTACGAGAAAGCCTTCGACAGCGTCGAAACCAACGCCATCCTGTCAGGCTAGTCGATCAAGGAGTGGACCCAGCTTACGTGAGGACGTTAGCCGATTGCTACAAGGACTGTACAGCGACGATGCACCTATTCCATCGCCCCCTGACCATACCAATCGGGAAAGGGGTCCGACAAGGCGACACAATCTCGCCGAAGCTGTTCACCGCGGCCTTGCAGTGGGTGATGAAGTCACTGGACTGGGACGAGAGAGGCATACGAGTTGATGGGAGATTCCTGTTCAACCTTCGTTTTGCGGACGACATCGTTCTCTCTCGAGCTGTATCACCGAAGCAGAGACGGTGTGAAGGAACTGAACGAAGTAGGGAAGAAGATCGGACTGCGAATAAACCGGAAGAAGACTCAGTTCATGAGGAACGCCCTTTGCGAAGATGCAGAAATGGAATTGGAAGGCACCTCAATTATGGAGACGTCTTCTTACGTGTATCTCGGACGTTCGATGAACATGGAGAACGACTTGATGGAAGAACTTAACAGGAGAAGAAGAGCAGCCTGGGCCGCCTTCGGGCCCCTGAAGGAAGCCACCGACCAACTGACGGACCCGGAGCTTCGTGCCCACCTGTTCGACTCAACCGTTCTCCCGGCGCTCTGTTACGCAGCTGAGACTTGGGCCGACACTGTAGCCACGTCGAAAGCTTTACGGACCACCCACAGAGGCTCGAGCGCAGTCTTCTGAAGATGACCCAACGCAAGCAACATCTAGTCGGACTTCGCAGCACGGATATGAGAAGAATGTCCCGTTTTTGTGACCCAGCGGAATACGTCGCGAAAGCCAAACACCGATGGGCCGGTCACATAATGAGAAGAACAGACGACAGATGGACACTAAGAACAGCGGAGTGGATTCCTCGCGAAGCCAAACGTCCTCGAGGAAGACCACCGACGAGATGGGCAGACGTGTTCGTGGAACGGATGGACCAGCTGAGAAATCAGCTGGATACGACTTTCGCCCATGGAACTCGTGGACGCAGCCACCGACGACGGCCAAGAAGATCGTGGATGTCTGAAGCGAGGGACAGGGAAAACTGGCGACTTCTGTACTGGGGCCCGCACGTCACGTGAGGACGGGCCATCTAAATATCTAAGTAAGTAAGTAATCGGCATCTAAGTATCTAAGTAAGTAAGTAATCGACATGCTCACCTATTCCCCTCTGCCAAATCCCAGCCCCATAGGAAAAACCGATACAATGGTTAAAAGTTGCAGATAATTCTAAAAACTAATATTGTATTCGTAATCAGCATGCTCGATCACCCCCTGTGCCTAATCCCAACTCCGCAGGTCAAACTTTACAAAAAATCGATAAAAATCGGTAAAATAGATATCGATCGATGACGAAAAGTAGCCTATGACGCCAACCCGCCCGAAGTGTATGTGTGCCAAATTTGGTCCGGATCGGTTCACAAATAAAATTTCTTATTCGGAACACATACACAAACACATACACATGCACATATATTAGGTCGTCCCGAAAGTTTTGTCCGTTTTTTCAACCTATCATAAGAACGCGTAAAACGAAGATAGGGAAACGCTTTGAGCACAATCCGACGCATTTTTTCCTTCTCTTTCTGACTGTCATGCCTTCATGCCGATTACTCTTTTGCTCACTGAGATAAGGGCCAAAATTTCGAACCCGTGGTTTTTACTATGTCCAAGTTTGTCAATTTTTCACAATCTTTATTTTTGACTTTTGGAAAAGCTTTGTCAACAGTTAGATAGTGCAAACAATGGGCAATATATTGCAGTTTTGCGGTATCTATAGCTCGCCTTGAAAATTTTTTAGAATTATTTTTCTAATGCTATCAAATTCCACTTTTGGTGATGCCAAAAGCCAGAGATCATGAAACGGCGCACAACTAAGGTGTTATTCGATGCAGCTTTTCTTCCTCTTTCCAGTGAGTTATTTTCTCTTTAATTTGCGGGGTCTTTGGCGATAAAAAATGCATAATTCTTAAAGTTGACCCCACCCCAGCGTGTACACGTAAAATGCAAAATCTTATATTTCAAAGCGGTAAACGCTCATTTGCTTCGTAAAAATAGTGAATAATCGTAACCGGTTTTTGAAAGTTTCGGAATCCGATCATTTGTTAGTGTTCGAGGCGTTTCTGTATTTTAGAACTTTCGCAAAAACGAAGACTTTTGAAAAAATTATCTTCAAAAATATTGACAAGACGCCAAATAATTGCATTGCATTGCCCTTTGCTTACTCTATCTGAGGGCTATCAAAGTCTTCCAAAGATGAAAATGAAGATTGTGAAAAATTGTCAAACTTGGACATAGTAAAAACCATGAATTCGAAATTTCGGACAGAACTTTCGGGATAACCTAATCTTATATATAAAGCTGAATGTCTGTTTGTCTGTCTGTCTGTACGTATGTTCCGAATAGAAAATTCCATTTCTGAACCGATCCGGACCAAACTTGGCACACATACACATCGGGCCCCGGCGGGTGTCATAGGCCACTTTTCATCGTCGATCGATATCGATTTTATCGATTTTTATCGATTTATTGCAGAGTTCACCTACGGGGCTGGGAGTTGGCATAGGGGGGTAATCGAGCATGGGGATTCCGGATGCTATATTAGTTTTCAGGATTATCGATTACTTTTATTGATTTTATCATTTTTTGCAAAGCCTGAGCTACGGGGCTGGGATTTGGCACAAGGGGGTAATCGAGCATGCTGATTACGAGTTCGATATTAGTTTTTGGTATTACCTATTATTTATGGATTTTATAGATTTTTTGCAAAGTTTGAGCTACAGGGCTGGGAGTTGGGCACAAAGGGGTAAGTGGGCATGCTGATTTCGAAACAACACAGGGAACGGGAAATGAAGTGTGGAAGTGGGTACAGGGAAAGGCTTCAAAGGGATAGAAATGGAAACTGTATTACAGTGTTTTAACAGTTCCGCGGGAGCCGGTAAGCAAGCTAGTACATGCTAAAACAAACTATGCCCAAATTTTTTCAAAAAGTTGGGTGATTAAACCGGCCGCCGAGCCGGGAAGACCATTTTTGCACTCTGACATGGTCCCTGCCGCCAGGGTCGGCTACAAGGAGAGCATCTACAACCCGAACCCAGCACCTTCTATATAGTATATTGCCGTGCCCAATCGCTCGATTGAGTTCGGTCAAAGTGCATCGAGGTTCGTTGGCGGCCGACCATCCCTTTGGCCGAGCCGCCCCTCCGTTGGAAACCCCGTCCAATCGGTCAAAATGGCCCGCACGCTCCTGTAGGACAAGATACATACACATACACATACACACACATAGGTACTCATACACATACACATACACGTACACATACACATAGACATACCACACACATACAATACACACATTCAGCTTTATATATAGGACTAAGAGTTTTCTACAAACCGCTAGGGCGTTCCCTATAGCACGCGCGCAATTGCCCGCATGTTGCGAATAGTGAGCTAGGGCTGCTTGCCCCCGAAAAGGCAGGCCAAAGAAGCGAGTCCAGAAAGTTCGACTAGCGACAATCAAGATAGGCACGCTCACAAGCCGCAGTCGAGAGCTATGCGATAGGTTGAAGAAGCGACACATCGACATCATATGTGTATAAAAATGGAATGGAAAGGAGGGCAGGCTAAGGACATCAACGAAGGATACCGGTTTTACTACGCGGGTGACAGCAGCCGCAAAACGGAGTCGCGATCATCCTTAGCGATAGAAACCGCAGTTAGTGACCAAAGTGACGCGTACTTCAGACAGACTAATGGGATTAAGATTGAAGTACAGGACATCACACTTCGAGTGTGT